TGCGGGTTATTTGCGTAGTATTCCAGTCACGGTATTGTGCCCTTTATTCTTTACCAAGACTTATAATTATTTTGTTAAACACAGAGGGTAACTTGACGATCATATTCCAAATATTTCCATTGTATTAAGTCACGTGTCTGACCTCACTAGGTCAGACACGGTGGGAGAATTGGACTTGCCTCGCATAGGCCAGTAGGCCTGTTGCACTGTTCCTTCTTTCTTATGTTTTGGATGTGTCTTATCTAAGCAGTATACTTGCAATAACATTGTTGTTTGTAGATACGACCTAACACTAAGCAAGTGCTGCACCAGTGGGCAGGTACATCGTAAATGAGCTTGTGTTTTCGTAGTTCAGTTACTCTTTGAAGAGTCTCAGGCTAACTGCAGGCTAGGAGAGAGTAACTGAAGTAACTCTCTATTTGCCTACAATCTGCGATGATGTCTTTCATTATTCGACCTAAGAATACAATCATGGATAACTAGCTTAAGTGCATGAACTGCGTTAGTGTGTGTGTGTGTAACTCTCACAGTGGCGAGGTAGTGATTTAGCTTTTTCACTTTTAAGTATTTGTGTAATATTAATATTTAAAAAGTATCGGCTGGTATCGGCCACCTTTTCATCGATACCGATGCCATGAAAATAGGCGATATTCACATATTTTGATACCGGTACCGATACTTTGGCAAACCCTTAGATAATGTAATATATTTCTTTCTTTTCACGAAATGTGGTTGATGAGACACGATTATCGGAAGTGGTGGTTGATGACACTAGAGGAGAAGTACGTACGGAGTGTGTGGTTGATGAACTAGAGGAAAGTAACATCACCAGGAGTGGTGGTTGATGACACTAGAGGAAAGTAACTCACCAGGAGTGGTGGTTGATGACACTAGAGGAAAGTAACATCACCAGGAGTGGTGGTTGATGACACTAATGGAAAGTACAATCACCAGATGTTTGATGACATAAGAGTTACACAAGTGTTGATGAGACACGATTATCGGAAGTGGTGGTTGATGACACTAGAGGAAAGTAACATCACCAGGAGTGGTGGTTGATGACACTAGAGGAAAGTAACATCACCAGGAGTGGTGGTTGATGACACTAGAGGAAAGTAACATCACCAGGGTGGTGGTTGATGACACTAGAGGAAAGTAACTATCACCAGAGTGGTGGTTGATAGACACTAGAGGAAAGTAACATCACCAGGAGTGGTGGTTGATGACACTAGAGGAAAGTAACATCACCAGGAGTGGTGGTTGATGACACAGAGGAAAGTAACATCACCAGGAGTGGTGGTTGATGACACTAGAGGAAAGTAACATCACCAGGAGTGGTGGTTGATGACACTAGAGGAAAGTAACATCACCAGGAGTGGTAGTTGATGACACTAGAGGAAAGTAACGTCACCAGGAGTGGTGGTTGATGACACTAGAGGAAAGTAACATCACCAGGAGTGGTGGTTGATGACACTAGAGGAAAGTAACTTCACCAGGAGTGGTGGTTGATGACACTAGAGGAAAGTAACATCACCAGGAGTGGTGGTTGATGACACTAGAGGAAAGTAACATCACCAGGAGTGGTGGTTGATGACACTAGAGGAAAGTAACTTCACCAGGAGTGGTGGTTGATGACACTAGAGGAAAGTAACATCACCAGAGTGGTGGTTGATGACACTAGAGGAAAGTAACATCACCAGGAGTGGTGGTTGATGACACTAGAGGAAAGTAACTTCACCAGGAGTGGTGGTTGATGACACTAGAGGAAAGTAACATCACCAGGAGTGGTGGTTGATGACACTAGAGGAAAGTAACATCACCAGGAGTGGTAGTTGATGACACTAGAGGAAAGTAACGTCACCAGGAGTGGTGGTTGATGACACTAGAGGAAGGTAACGTCACCAGGAGTGGTGGTTGATGACACTAGAGGAAAGTAACGTCACCAGGAGTGGTGGTTGATGACACTAGAGGAAAGTAACTTCACCAGGAGTGGTGGTTGATGACACTAGAGGAAAGTAACGTCCACCAGGAGTGGTGGTTGATGACACTAGAGGAAAGTAACGTCACCAGGATGGTGGTTGATGACACTAGAGGAAAGTAAACTCACCAGGAGTGGTGGTTGATGACACTAGAGGAAAGTAACTCACCAGGAGGTGGTGGTTGTGACACTAGAGGAAAGTAACTTCACCAGGAGTGGTGGTTGATGACACTAGAGGAAAGTAACGTCACCAGGAGTGGTAGTTGATGACACTAGAGGAAAGTAACTCACCAGGAGTGGGAGTTGATGACACTAGAGGAAGTAACATCACCAGGAGTGGTGGTTGATGACACTAGAGGAAAGTAACATCACCAGGAGTGGTGGTTGATGACACTAGAGGAAAGTAACTTCACCAGGAGTGGTGGTTGATGACACTAGAGGAAAGTAACTCACCAGGAGTGGTGGTTGATGACACTAGAGGAAAGTAACATCACCAGGAGTGGTGTTGATGACACTAGAGGAAAGTAACATCACCAGGAGTGGTGGTTGATGACACTAGAGGAAAGTAACAGTCACAGGAGTGGTGGTTGATGACACTAGAGGAAAGTAACTCACCAGGAGTGGTGGTTGATGACACTAGAGGAAGTAACGTCACCAGGAGTGGTAGTTGATGACACTAGAGGAAAGTAACATCACCAGGAGTGGTAGTTGATGACACTAGAGGAAAGTAACATCACCAGGAGTGGTGGTTGATGACACTAGAGGAAAGTAACATCACCAGGAGTGGTAGTTGATGACACTAGAGGAAAGTAACTTCACCAGGAGTGGTGGTTGATGACACTAGAGGAAAGTAACGTCACCAGGAGTGGTAGTTGATGACACTAGAGGAAGTAACTCACCAGGAGTGGTAGTTGATGACACTAGAGGAAAGTAACATCACCAGGAGTGGTGGTTGATGACACTAGAGGAAAGTAACGTCACCAGGAGTGGTGGTTGATGACACTAGAGGAAAGTAACGTCACCAGGAGTGGTGGTTGATGACACTAGAGGAAGGTAACGTCACCAGGAGTGGTAGTTGATGACACTAGAGGAAAGTAACGTCACCAGGAGTGGTAGTTGATGACACTAGAGGAAAGTAACGTCACCAGGAGTGGTAGTTGATGACACTAGAGGAAAGTAACGTCACCAGGAGTGGTGGTTGATGACACTAGAGGAAAGTAACATCACCAGGAGTGGTAGTTGATGACACTAGAGGAAAGTAACATCACCAGGAGTGGTAGTTGATGACACTAGAGGAAAGTAACATCACCAGGAGTGGTAGGTGAATGACACTAGAGGAAGAGTAACTCACCAGGAGTGGTAGTTGATGACACTAGAGGAAAGTAACTCACCAGGAGTGGTGTTGATGACACTAGAGGAAAGTAAGCATCACCAGGAGTGGTAGTTGATGACACTAGAGGAAAGTAACATCACCAGGAGTGGTAGTTGATGACACTAGAGGAAAGTAACATCACCAGGAGTGGTGGTTGATGGTGTTCACATTGATGTGACGGTGTTCACAGTAATGTGACGGTGTTCACAGTAATGTGGTGTTAACATTGATGTGACGGTGTTCACAATAATGTGACGGTGTTCACAGTAATGTGACGGTGTTCACAGTAATGTGACGGTGTTCACAGTAATGTGACGGTGTTCACAGTAATGTGACGGTGTTCACAATAATGTGACGGTGTTCACAGTAATGTGACGGTGTTTACGTATATGTGACGGTGTTCACAGTAATGTGACGGTGTTCACAGTAATGTGACGGTGTTCACAGTAATGTGACGGTGTTCACAGTAATGTGGTGTTAACATTGATGTTGAGGTTACTAAAACATTCAACATTACAGTTTCATTTTTATTTCCATATGATTTATTTTTATACATACAAAATACGTAGTAAGGGATTCTTTTGTTGGTGTCTACACAAACTTAATGTGTTTGTCTCTACACAATTCCAAACTTAATGTGTTTGTCTCTACACAATTCCAAAATTAATGTGTGTCTCTACACAATTCCAAAATTAATGTGTTTGTCTCTACACAATTCCAAAATTAATGTGTTTGTCTCTACACAATTCCAAAATTAATGTGTTTGTCTCTACACAATTCCAAAATTAATGTGTTTGTCTCTACACAATTCCAAACTTAATGTGTTTGTCTCTACACAATTCCAAAATTAATGTGTTTGTCTCTACACAATTCCAAAATAATGTGTTTGTCTCTACACAATTCCAAAATTAATGTGTTTGTCTCTACACAATTCACAAATTAATGTGTTTGTCTCTACACAATTCCAAACTTAATGTGTTTGTCTCTACACAATTCCAAAATTAATGTGTTTGTCTCTACACAATTCCAAACTTAATGTGTTTGTCTCTACACAATTCCAAACTTAATGTGTTTGTCTTACAATTCCAAAATTAATTGTGTTTGTCTTACACAATTCCAAACTTAATGTGTTTGTCTCTACACAATTCCAAACTTAATGTGTTTGTCTCTACACAATTCCAAAAGTAATGTGTTTGTCTCTACACAATTCCAAACTTAATGTGTTTGTCTCTACACAATTCCAAACTTAATGTGTTTGTCTCTACACAATTCCAAACTTAATGTGTTTGTCTCTACACAATTCCAAAAGTAATGTGTTTGTCTCTACACAATTCCAAAAGTAATGTGTTTGTCTCTACACAATTCCAAACTTAATGTGTTTGTCTCTACACAATTCCAAACTTAATGTGTTTGTCTCTACACAATTCCAAACTTAATGTGTTTGTCTCTACACAATTCCAAAAGTAATGTGTTTGTCTCTACACAATTCCAAACTTAATGTGTTTGTCTCTACACAATTCCAAACTTAATGTGTTTGTCTCTACACAATTCCAAAATTAATGTGTTTGTCTCTACACAATTCCAAACTTGTTCATATTATTTGCTCAGCTGTAAGAAAATCTTTGTTCATAAAATGTATAATTTAGCCGGTGTGTGTGTGTGTGTGTGTGTGTGTGTGTGTGTGTGTGTGTGTGTGTGTGTGTGTGTGTGTGTGTGTGTGTGTGTGTGTGTGTGTGTGTCAGTTTATTCATAACTCTGTATTCTTTTTTTTTATATTGTGTAATCGTCACATTCCTTACTCTTTGTCCTGATATTTTGTAAGTTTTACAAACACTGTTACTTGCGTTTGATATTTCGTGAGTATTACATTTCCTGATATTATCTAACAGGATCAAGATTATTCCTGATTCTGTCTAACAGGTTCAAGATTACTTCTGATTCTGTCTAATAGGATCAAGATTACTTCTGATTCTGTCTAACAGGATCAAGATTACTTCTTATTCTGTCTAACAGGATCAAGATTACTTCTGATTCTGTTTAACAGGATCAAAATTACTTCTGATTCTGTCTAACAGGATCAAGATTACTTCTGATTCTGTCTAATAGGATCAAGATTACTTCTGATTCTGTCTAACAGGATCAAGATTACTTCTGATTCTGTCTAATAGGATCAAGATTACTTCTGATTCTGTCTAATAGGATCAAGATTACTTCTGATTCTGTCTAACAGGATCAAGATTACTTCTTATTCTGTCTAACAGGATCAAGATTACTTCTGATTCTGTCTAACAGGATCAAGATTACTTCTGATTCTGTTTAACAGGATCAAAATTACTTCTTATTCTGTCTAACAGGATCAAGATTACTTCTGATTCTGTCTAATAGGATCAAGATTACTTCTGATTCTGTCTAATAGGATCAAGATTACTTCTGATTCTGTCTAACAGGATCAAGATTACTTCTGATTCTAACAGGATCAATATTACTTCTGATGCTGTCTAACAGGATCAAGATTACTTCTGATTATGTCTAACGGGATCAAGATTACTTTTGATACTTTCTAACAGGATCAAGATTACTTCTGATACTATCTAACAGGATCAAGATTACTTCTGATGCTATTTAACAGGGTCAATATTACTTCTGATTCTGTCTAACAGGATCAAGATTACTTCTGATTCTGTTTAACAGGATCAAGATTACTTCTTATTCTGTCTAACAGGATCAAGATTACTTCTGATTCTGTCTAATAGGATCAAGATTACTTCTGATTCTGTCTAACAGGAACAAGATTACTTCTGATTCTAACAGGATCAATATTACTTCTGATGCTGTCTAACAGGATCAAGATTACTTCTGATTATGTCTAACGGGATCAAGATTACTTCTGATACTTTCTAACAGGATCAAGATTACTTCTGATACTATCTAACAGGATCAAGATTACTTCTGATGCTATTTAACAGGGTCAAGATTACTTCTGATTCTGTCTAACAGGATCAAGATTACTCCTGATACTGTCTAGCAGGATCAAGAGTACTTATGATGCTATCTAACAGGATCAAGATTACTTCTGATACTATCTAACAAGATCTAGATTACTTCTGATACTAACTAACAGGATCAAGATTACTTCTGATACTATCTAACAGGATCAAGATTACTTTTGATACTATCTAACAGGATCAAGATTACTTCCGATTCTGTCTAACAGGGTCAAGATTACTTCTGATACTATCTAACAGGATCAAGATTACTTCTGATACTATCTAACAGAATCAAGATTACTTCTGATACTATCTAACAAGATCTAGATTACTTCTGATACTAACTAACAGGATCAAGATTACTTCTGATACTATCTAACAGGATCAAGATTACTTCTGATACTATCTAACAGGATCAAGATTGCTTCCGATTCTGTCTAACAGGGTCAAGATTACTTCCGATTCTGTCTAACAGGGTCAAGATTACTTCTGATACTATCTAACAGGATCAAGATTACTTTTGATACTATCTAACAGGATCAAGATTACTTCCGATTCTGTCTAACAGGAGCAAGATTACTTCCGATTCTGTCTAACAGGGTCAAGATTACTTCTGATACTATCTAACAGGATCAAGATTACTTTTGATACTATCTAACAGGATCAAGATTACTTCCGATTCTGTCTAACAGGAGCAAGATTACTTCCGTTTCTGTCTAACAGGAGCAAGATTACTTCCGATTCTGTCTAACAGGGTCAAGATTACTTCTGATACTATCTAACAGGATCAAGATTACTTCTGATACTATCTAACAGGATCAAGATTACTTCCGATTCTGTCTAACAGGATCAAGATTACTTCTGATACTCCTCCATTGGATATACAGTTACACAGAACACAGCTAGTTTAACACAGCTAGTTTAACACAGCTAGTTTAACACAGTTTAACACAGCATTTAAAACATTTTGCTGTGTACGTCCCACCTCCATTTCCTCGGATCAAGTTCATTCAAAGCTGAATGTGGGACTCCATGGAATAACTTCTACTAGAAATCTCAGAATATAAGCACATGCACTTACAAATAATAAGTACTTGCACTTACAAAATATAAGTACATGCACTTACAAAATACAAGTACTTGCACTTACAAAAAAAGTACTAGCACTTACAAAATATAAGTACTTGCACTTATAAAATATAAGTACTTGCACTTATAAAATATAAGTACATGCACTTACAAAATATAAGCACATGCACTTACAAAAAGGTAATTGACTTAACCTACGAGTGCGTTGATATGCACTTACCTACACACAGATACTTAAAGTTGAGGTTCATGGATACTCGTGGTCCTCAGAAATAATTTAGGTTGTGGTTTGTGGATACTATTGGTGGTCCTCCCCAGCGATGGTCTACTAGTTATGTATAGAGCTTTTCACATCCTTAGTATCTTGGCTGCTGACACTCCTGGTAGAGTATTTACATTGGTGTTACACCTGCGTGTGATGTGACACACGCAGGTGTTAGTATTCTAGCTGCTGGCACTCCTGGTTAAGTGTTTACATTGGTGTTATACCTGCATGTGATGTGTCACACACAGTTGTTAGTATCCTGGGTGCTGGCACTCCTGGTTGAGTGCTTACAGAGGTGCTACACCTGGGTGGCTGAAGGTTCAGGTTGTGGGTGGTGGTCGGCCAGTGCTGGCTTGGCGATGCCAGTGTTGGGTGAGTACGTGAGGATATGACGGCGACCGGATGTTGAGGTGCCTCTGTTGGCCCTCCTCCTGAGTCCCCCCCCTACTAGCACCAGCAACAGTGCCACATAGAACACCACCACTGCCTGTAACAACAACAGTAATGCCTTTATTATTACCCTGCTCTAGCATAGCTTCTTCTTATAAATATATAACCTTACGTATTGTCGAATTAAACCTGATTTTATTAGTGATAAAGTTATACTTATCTAAGGGACAATTTAATCTCAACAAAATGCTTCGTACCCAGGTCTTTCTAAAAAAATGGCTGGAAAATGAAGGCTTAAGAGCTGAGTTAGAACGGGTAGAATTATAAACAATAAACAGGTGGGTTCAGTGTTATTGCTGTAGCAGCATAGTGTGTGCTGCAAGGTATAACTCACACCATTATAAACAGACATTAATAAATGCAAGTGCGACACCACAATCTGTGGTGAGAGTTACTACTGTAAAATAAAAGGACACAAGTGCAACTGATCGCTGTTTCGAATACAATTAAACAAAACAACGGCAGCTTCACCATCTCCGAAGTCTTAGCAAGAATCCTCCTGAAAACAGTAAACCCTGCCATCACATAGTCTCTCCTGTTATACTACACAAAGCACATTACAGAGAGTGAACACTGAAAAAAACCTGCCTCTTTCCAGTCTATATTTGTCCAACCTATTTTTATGTTACCCAAGTAATAGCTTTTATATCCTTTTACTCATGTACGAATTAATTGCTCTTCCATATTGTATTATTTTTGTTACTACTACTACTACTACTACTACTACCACTACCACTAGTGAACATCGAAATGTTACCTCACTAGTATTACACCTCACTCTGAGCCTTTATATACCCTCTGTGTCCATGTATTGTTTGTAATGGCTTGATAAAGCTCCTGGAGAGCGAAACGTTGCCACAATAAATGTCACATTAGTTGCACTTGTGTCCTTTTACTTTACATATTGTCGGTAATTCTACCAACTTTATTACAACGAGAGTTACTACTACTTTCAAGACCACCTCAGCAATGTACCGGTGTACCACGTCTGGTCACATGTCAACAAAGTTAAGTGTAGTAGTAGAGAAGAGTTGAATGCATGTCAACCAGTTATTTTATTAATACAGTAGACCTATTGAAATGAAATGATGATAAACCTGGGATTAATAACGACTAATACATACATGCGTACATAGATATTTCTATGAACTATACATACATATCTGCATGTTGCATACATACGAAGATACCTACATGATGCATACATATAAAGATACCTGCATGAAGGATACATACAAAAACACTTGCATGATACATGGATACCCACAGATGTTCGCCGGTATTAGTTTGTCTGCCTCAGAATGACGAAATTTTCAACAATACTGATCATTCTCACATTGCTTTAAATTTAGCCTTCAACTAAATAATATTTATCCTATTGTCTATTTCATTCAGTTATTTTGATTTTGCTCCAGATATAATAATTTTTTCCCGAAGGAAGTTTTTAAGCGGAAATTGAGTCACTTCCATCTTATAGTGCCTATTCAGGAACTTTGAAATATATTTGTAGGCCTACGGGGGTGCTAGCAATTGGTTGTCGAATCGACATCTGGAACGAATTAAATTCGACAACCGAGTTCCTCTGTGTATGTGTGCCAGGCTTGTTGAGCGGACAGTCACGAAGGAAGTGTGGCGTCAGGTTAGACTGTGAGAGAAGACGAACTCTAGGAATAAGTAAAATATACCAAGAACCATGGTTGTCAACATAAATATTATCCATATTAATCAAATAACTTTTGTTCTCGCATAACCTGAAAACTTGTGAAGTCACGGAAGTTGGTTCATTGTTGGTGTGGAGCAAAGTTCACCATACAAGACACACTTGTGTTGGTGGCGTCAGTGTAAGTCATCTTTAAAGGTGTGAGACGACAGAATGACGCTGAAACGCTGTCAGCGTTGTGGTTTATTTCCGTTGGAATCGATAAGTATCTACTAGCATAATGCTAGCCAAAATAGTCTACTAGCTCCTGGCTTTCTATCTACTGCTATCTATCTACTACTTTCTTTCTACTGCTACATCTACTGCGAGACGGAGACTTGCGTCAACGTCTCGCCTCACTAACTACAGTAGAAGCAGTTCCTGGGACAGTGAAGGTTATCACTACCATCACATCAAAATATTACCAGTATAAATACTATACTGATGCGTGTAAAGGGTAGCGCCCTCGTCTCACAACCCAGCCACCCGAGCACTATCCTGGTATGGGCTAGATATAGGCAATTCTCCTGTCACCTGTCACTTTTCACCTAGCAGTAAATTGATGCTAAAAGCTGGTCGACTGTCTTTCCCGAGAAGTAGACTAGGGACTCCTGTGTAAAATAGGAAGCCACACTACGTGGATTGTGCCCATAAATCTACCAGTGGTGTTCGTTTAAATTATATTTGCAGTCTCCCATCACACCACTAACTCCATTAGTTGCTGCTGTTTATGAAGCGACAGGTGCGGGACAGAGGCAGAAACATCAAATGGATTGCATATCCAAGTGAGACTGATACCTAGGGGTTAGTACCTGCCTGGCTGCTGACTCACTTGCTGGACCTGTCCACTAACACCTGCTCATCCAACGCAATATCATTTGTTTCGAGGAATTCTTGTACTGTTGGAGAGCACTGACGGGAATTCACGTTTATCCAGCTTGACGAGAATGTCAGTTATTCTTTTTTATCATTAGTTTGACTTTAACTTGTGTGTTAAACGCTGTAGCGCTGACATCTATGAGACTTTCAGTTCATTTATAGCCAAAAAATATTTTCTAGTTCTGATAAATTTTGTAACCAGTGCTCTGAATTTCAGGCAAGAAAACAAGTACAACAGATTGTCCACAAATAATTGGTGAATTTCACATCTCTGTTCAAATAGCCTTGTCATGACTGCCAGGTGACAAGAGCGCACTTCAGTGTGCAAGAGAACTGTATCATGTTCGCTGCTCGTTTAGTTGCAGAGTTGCAAAATTCCCTGAATTTAGGGGGCGAGCTTTGAAGTTTACTATTTTTTTTTTTATCGAACCATTAGGCACTGACATAAGCTTATTTTGCACCTTTTAGCAGCAAGAGCCTCTATGTGAACTCTTCAGTAAACCCAGGACACTGTATTGCTAATTCTTTGTTTCTCTATGACTGACATGGCTGTATGAGTACGTGTTTCCACAGTACGCCCAGCCGACGCCATTAACTCTCATGGATGCAACAAGGGACCAACAAAACACAAAACTCATAAACTGTAACTTTAAATAAGTAACGAACATAAACCAAAAGATTGGCCAGATTTGCAACATCCGAGATCTCGCAAATCTACGGTGAGAAAGAATTCGCTGTCTTTGATACGACTGACCAGTGGACAGGGAATGTTTTCTGACATTCTTTAAGTGGAGCGAGTTATTGCATTGTTGGAACCAAGTATTGTATTTAAATTTTCTTTCTTTTTCTCTTCCACAAACATGTAGTTTACCAGGTCTTTTGAAAATGGCAAACATACAGTAAATACTCGATCATCATGTGTAGTATTCCTTTTTTTTTTTAGTTAGTGTACCTAACAAGGTGTGACGCTCGTAGTGTGTCTTTGCCAAACACATTGTCTGAATGTGAATCCAGTATTCTAGTTTACACAATTCTTCCAGTTAGCATTTGAAAAACTCATTTGCCTTATCTTTTAAGTTTTATGTTTAGTTTGTAGGCCTTTAGACAGGTGTTAGTTACAACCTCACACTACCAACTACACGTACCATGTATAACCCAGACCAATATATCCTTTGTTATACTTGCCTCTTTTAATTGTCTTCTCACTTCCCTCGGTGATGACCCATTCACTCAGTAAGTCTACATGATGTTCTTTCTCATCTTTACTCTGTCCCTCCGTTCCTCCCGTGTCCTTGTTCCTCCGTATCCCTCTCTCTTCCTTCGAGTTCCTCTGTTCCTCTCGCGTCCCTCTGTTCCTCAGTGTCCTTCACTTCCTCCGTGTTCCTTCCGTGTCTCTCTCGTCCTCCGTGTCCCTTCGTTCCTTCGTGTCCCTCCGATTCACCTTGTTTCTTGGTTTCATTTTGTCCTTTCATATCCTTCTGTTCTGCTTCTCTCTGCTCTTCCGCTTGTTTCTGGTCCTCTTCGTTGTTAGCGTCGATGGCGATGTTAACCGCTTCTGAAGCAGATGATGGTCATGTTGGCCTCTTCTGCAGCAGCAGATGATGGTCATGTTGGCCTCTTCTGCAGCAGCAGATGATGGTCATGTTGGTCTCTTCTGCAGCAGCAGATGATGGTCATGTTGGTCTCTTCTGCAGCAGCATATGATGGTCATGTTGGCCTCTTCTGCAGCAGCAGATGATAGCTGTGTTGGTCTCTTCTGCAGCAGCAGATGATGGCTGTGTTCGTCTCTTCTGCAGCAGCAGATGATGGCTGTGTTGGTCTCTTCTGCAGCAGCAGATGATGGCTGTGTTGGCCTCTTCTGCAGCAGCAGATGATGGCTGTGTTGGTCTCTTCTGCAGCAGCAGATGATGGCTGTGTTGGCCTCTTCTGCAGCAGCAGATGATGGCCGTGTTGGTCTCTTCTGCAGCAGCAGATGATGGCTGTGTTGGTCTCTTCTGCAGCAGCAGATGATGGCTGTGTTGGTCTCTTCTGCAGCAGCAGATGATGGTCATATTGGTCTCTTCTGCAGCAGCAGATGATGACTGTGTTGGTCTCTTCTGCAGCAGCAGATGATGGCTGTGTTGGTCTCTTCTGCAGCAGCAGTTGATGGTCATATTGGTCTCTTCTGCCAGCAGCAGATGATGGCTGTGTTCGTCTCTTCTGCAGCAGCAGATGATGGCTGTGTTGGTCTCTTCTGCAGCAGCAGATGATGGTCATGTTGGTCTCTTCTGCAGCAGCAGATGATGGCTGTGTTGGTCTCTTCTGCAGCAGCAGATGATGGCTGTGTTGGTCTCTTCTGCAGCAGCAGATGATGGTCATGTTGGTCTCTTCTGCAGCAGCAGATGATGGCTGTGTTGGTCTCTTCTGCAGCAGCAGATGATGGCTGTGTTGGCCTCTTCTGCACAACAGATGATGGCTGT